GGCCCGCACACAAAGGGGCCCTTCATGGCCCCCAGCAGCTCCTCCACCCGGGCAGGAGCTGCCGCAAGGCCTCACGCCAGGCAGGAAGAGCAGCATGAGGTGAAAATTCACAGGACAAATCCACGAACGACAGGAGCTACTAAACTTCTTAATTTTAGCTTCAGGGGAGGAAAAAAAAAGTTGCAATTCTAAGTGTGGCAGCCCATTGTACATGGAAGGCAGGGAAAGGCTTTACATTGCAGTTTCCAGCTATTTAGTAGCAGATAAAGGAGCTACTTTCAGTAGCTGTACGACAGTAGCTGTTCCGCTGTTTTATCTTGACTCTTATCTATACAAGTTTGTTTCAATAGCAAGAGCACTTCTACCACATAATGAATATAGCAACAGATCTGTAACATTCTCCCTTTGTGTGAGAAAGCCGCAGCAGATGTTCAAATGCCTTCTTGAGTCTATTGTCTGGCAATGGTATGAGCCAATTTTTCTTTACAGCTCCATCAGGATTCCTTAATAACATGGTGTGTGCAAAGAGCATTCTTTTTTCCTTCCCTGTTATTTAGTTGCATAATTCCCACACGACTGCTTCTACCGCACTCTTACTGCAACTGATTATCCATTATATTTGCAGACACAGAAATGTCTGTCTTTACAGAATGATGTGAGCTGTAGTTTCTCAGAGTCCCTAGAATCTTGCCCAAACCTCACAGAATAATTGAGGTTGGAAGGGACCACTGGAGATCATCTAGTCCAACCACTCCTGCTCAAGCAGGGTCATCTAGGGCACATGTACCAGAACCCTGTCCAGGCCACTTTTGACTATCTCCAAGCCTGGAAACTCCCTGATTTTTCTGGAAATCTGCTCTCGTACTCCGTCACCCTCATGGTAAAGCAGCTTTTCCTCATGCTCAGACAGAATTGCCCATGTTTTCCCATTGCTTCTTGTCCTATTGCTGGACACCACTGAAAAGAGCCTGGCCCTGTCCTCTTCGCACCTTCCTTCGGACACATGTATTCATTGATCAGATTCCCCTGCCTTCTCCAGGCTAATCCAGCTTCCTCCAGGATGGAGGAAGGCTCTCCACCCTTCCTCCTATGGGAGATGCTCCAGTCCATCATCTTGGCCCTTCACTGGACTCGCTCCAGTAGCTGCAACATCTCTCCCAGGCTCTGGGGAGCCCAGAACTGGACACAGTTCTCCAAGCATGGCCACATCAGCACTGAGTAGAGGGGGAAGATCACCTCCTGCAATCAACAGGTCCAGTCCCTCAACTCGCAATTAACTGGAGGGAACAGCACAACTCCACACTCACTTAGATCACACAGTCACACACAATTACTTTGGGCAGGACAGAGATACTTTGTTCCTCACCCGTGGCCAAATCTATAGCGTAGTGCAGAAGTTTGCAGAGACTTCACAGCTTATTGTAAGGCCAGTAAAACAAGTTTGTTAGTGCTTAATTAATAGTTTTTATGGACACTTAACAGCTATAGCTATTTTTTTTTCTTCCTCCCAGAAGCTCTTGCAAGATCTTTGCTTAGGAGTTTTAAAGAATGACAATTTCAGTTAAAGGTAACAATTTTTATCAGAATGGCTGCACCAGCAAAAACTGCAATGAAGTTTTGCCAGCACATGCTGCAGGGGAAGAAAAGCCAGACCTATCAATGAGTGTCTGAGACACTCTTATCACATATGCACACATACTATCACTAGGAGCAGCAGAACTTTCAGTGAACTTTCCCCATACAGTGAACTTTCCTTCTCTAGTACAGAAGCGTAAGACCATGCCAAGACACCTGTATGTTCTACCGGCAAAGCACTCAAAGCAGATCTAGCTACACCTGTATTCTGGATTTGTGCAAATACAGCAAACGCAGGCAAGATGAGGTTCACTTTCAAGAGCTGTTTGCCAGTACAACGGGAACAATATACAGTTTGCTTGATGACATCTCTGCCCTGACTTACACAGCTATGTCGACAGAAATCTAACGTTTTCAAAAGTGTTATCTCTAGTCTATACAAATCCAAAGAGTGTCTGGCAGTGTCTGACTTTTTTCTCAACAGAGGCTTTAAATACTGAATCATGTCAAGCTTGTCTTCCCTTATTGTTATGAGTCACCTATAGATAATTTATGTTCCTCTTCAGCCCAGCCAGGCATTTTTATTCCCTCATGGATCACATTGACACTCACAGTAAATCCCCATAATATCTAGACCTCCCTCCATAATAGAAATGCTCATTAATATGCTCCAGCTGTTTTAGGACACTTCCACATGAATTTATGAATATTCAGTTTCCATCTAGTGTCCAACTTGCTTGCATCCAGACATTGCTGCCTTGAAGACAGATATTGTAATACTTTCATTAGCTCCAAGCCTCTAATACCAGATAAGCAATATGTTTAATATCAATAAACCAAGGATCTCAGAACAACCTCTGCTTCCAAGAGCCAGGGGAAACTGAAGGCACGCAGCATCTCACTGGACTGACCTGCTAATACAAAGTTGGTCACGCAGGTGCCCTGCTGTTCCAGAACCAGTAAGGGCAAGAAATCCTGTACTTTTCCTGCATGGTTCCCCAGGCTGGGATCAAGGCCTTGGCTAATAACAGCAATAACAACAAGCAGCCAAGGCTCCTGGCAGCATTTGGAGGAACTCCGGCATTCTTGCTGCCAGGGCCGCTCTCTCCTAGGCTACAGGCGCGGATGCTGGAAGAGCTCCCTCCTTTCGCTCTCCTCCGTCCCCACATCCCGCTTGCTGCTCAGCGGCACACGCGGCCGCCCGCACACCGCGGCGGATTTGTCAGGAGCAGCCCTTGTTGTCCCGGCACAAGGAGCCTGCTGTTACCAAACATCCTCCAGACAGACTCCTCCAGCCTGTGGCTCCTACGCCAGGCGCCAGCACAGAACAAAGCGGCTCCAAGACACAGTTCAGATTTCTTGCAAAACACGACACCTCCCAGGGAAAAACAAAACAGCGGAGGTGTGAGTGTTTAATAAACTGATGGAAAATGGACTAGCAGGGGGAGGGGAAAAAAAAAAAAAAAAGGTCACCAAGAACTACACAAGGAGCCATCCTCAGCTGCAAACAGATTGTCACACAGCTCAGCTCACACCCAAGCTGATACAGGAAGGTCTTTGAGCACCTACAGGGAGATCTCAGTGTTACTCCTCTTTTCACAGCTTGTGAGAATAAAATAAACAAACAAATAAGACCAAAAAACCCACCAGCATAAGTTCTCCAGCCCCACTGCAATATGACAGATTTGGGACTATGCTTGTAGCAGCTTCACTACTCTTAGCACTCCTGGTAACTTTGAAACCACTGGAGGAAGGAGCCAACAAAGATGGGCAAAAACTAATGGATTTAATGCTGTGCAATACACGCCAGGTGTGACGTGACAAATTGCCATCAAGGTCCCTAGACATTAGGCCCTTTCTTGGTGCGCACTCAGTAACTCTGCAGAAGTCATGTCAAAAAAGTCCACATAGGAACACAACAGGAGAGAAGTCAAGTAAGAGTTCCCAAGCCACCAACACCAAGGCAGGTGAACAAGGGAAAAGTGACCACTTAAGAAAGGATCCAAAAGCACAGGTGCATCTCCAGAGGGGAGCATTACCTCAGTTCACTTTCAGCAAGAAGTACAGTCCTCTTCAGCCAGAGCTTTACCAACCTCAGGAGAATGAACTTTTCAAGAAATAAATTCTGAACAAAATCCACTTTCATCTTTCATGCCCTTGGCAAAGGGTAATGGGAAATATTTAAGAATAAGTGACCAGCCTGAAAATTATTTTAAGCTTCTATAAACCCATCCATCATTCAAGGCATTAGATTTTTTCTAAGGAAGTCCCACCTGGTAAGTCAGTGAAAACTCCATCAAAGAGGAATGTGAAAGACAGCTGCCAGCAAGGTGAAAACCTGAAGTCTAGAGCTGTAATGGGAACTGGAATTTACAGCGACAGCCATTAGATTAACAACAGACAGCTGGGGAGAAAGAGAGATAGCACAAGCCGCAGGAGTAATTACACTCTGCTCATCTAAATAGCCCCCTAAGTAAAAGCATGATGCTGTCAGCATCACTGCCTGCCCTAATCTGCCAAGTTTCTGCGTCCTGTTAGAGTGCTGTCATAACCACGATGCAGTTCTTGCATACAAGGGGATCCCAGTGCCAGGCTCCTTTTGCACACATTCATACTGGCACTGCGCGCCGCATTATCAGTTGAAGCACAAACCAACCACACGGAAGAAACAACAAGAGAGGAACAGGGTCACAGCCCTAAATAATTCATCATGATCCTCCCGGGGAAAGGTCTGAGACCAAGGCAAGATCCAGACCCCATAGCATTTCGCACAGTTCATCTCCTGTCATCAGCAAAGGACATTACACCATGACCAGAACATCAGCGCTTACGTGGCTCCCATACAAACAGCCTGGTGCTCCCAACCAAACACCAACAGGTAGAGACTGTTGTTCCAGCTACTTACATTCAGCTTTGGCCTAAAGCTATGCAGGTGCTTCCACAAGGCTGCTGAGGGAGACCAGCTCTTCCATGTGCTGGCTCTCCCTGGGTCCATTTGCCACCTGGCAGCAGGAAGGGACCCTCCTGGCAAAGGTGGCCATAGAACATACACATTTTGGCCTTGCCAAGGCAGCCCTCCCATGCTACAGCACCATACTGCGTCATGGTAGGTGACCCCCTTTGGTGTTCTCCTGGGACACAGGGCACTAGAGCACTTCTGGAGACACTTACCCACTTAAAGGCCTGGTTTTTCTAATCTCGAAGAACTGAGTTCCTGTGTGATTGTATCTGAGTTTTGTCTGTTAAGGGAAAGCAATGTAAGAAACAGTCGAACGATAAAGCCCGAAGGATAAATTTCCATTCCAATTGAAAAATAAAGCAAACAGTAATGAGTGATTAATTCTCACCATAGAGATGAAACAAGGATATGGGAAACACTTACAAGGAGGAAAAAAAAGAAAAAAAAACACACCAACCAACATTAGGTGGAAAGTCTTGCAAAAAAAGGCCATAAGTCTAATGCTAATTGTAACATACTAACACTAATGCAGCTTGGCATTTGATGGTTATGAATTCTCTTTTCCCAGAGTTTGAAAAAGCTTCCCCTTCAGGCAAGGGAAAACATTTATAGCCTACTCAAACCAATCATCATTCATCATTTGAACAAAAATTTGCTTTCTTTAATTTTAAACTCAGACACAGGGAGCAACAGCACAGCAGGTGCATCCAATAACATCCAGGAACTATAAATCATTCTCTAAAAAATACAATTCCCTTAAAATATAAATAACAGCAGTTAATGTAAATATGTAAATAATAGTGCAGCACAAGAACATCAGTTAACAGTACAACCACAGGTGAAAAGTGCATGGCAAAGGATGCCAGGGGACAGACAACCCATCAACCAACATCATGCCCATGCACTTCCTTTTGCTGGGTTATTTTTCTAGCAGAATCAGCTGCCAACCCAGTCACTGTAACATTTATATAGAACTGAGGTGGGAAAACCAGGACAAAGGTGGGTGACTCTGCAGAGGCAAAGGGTGTCTAGCAAAATAGCACAGCTACTGACCATATAACTATGGCCTAAATAAGCCTCCAAATCATGCCAGGCACCTGGATGTTCACAAATGACCTCAATTGGAGTGCAGAGTTCTCCAGAAATAACACTTTCCTTCCTGCCTGCCTTTGAAGCTTAATTCATGAGCCCCTTTCACAAAGGGCTCTGAACATATAGCCTCTTTCAGCCCTAAAAAGAAACTAGGACCCTGCTCCCCAACCCCAAACTTTGAAACCTTTTTGAATGCTGAGCTAAACCCCATGTCCAAGGCCTGATTTTACTACCTACCAGAGTGCAGGCTTTCAAGACTACTATGAAAGAAATGTATTTGAGCTCCACAGGACAGAGTCTGCTCTCCAGCACACCGCTTCTTGCCATGATAGGCAAGCAGAGCACAAGCTTCTCTTGTCCTTCCTGAGCAGCCCACGTGCAGCAGAGATGCCTCCCCTTGTTGCTGCTCTGCCTCTTCAAACACACAGCTCCTCTTTCCTCCCTCCCACTGTTCTTGCTCTGTTATGGAGAGCACAAGACTCATGATGTGCTTCAGAAAGGGCTCAAAAACAAGAGGAGAAAAGGAAACCTCCAGTTGCATCCAGCCCTGTGTGGGTTGGACTACCCAGTTCCAGAGCCAGCATGGCTGGGTTTGCTGCCCTATCCCAGTGACAAGCATCCCACGCCAGCCAAGGAATGTAAGCAGCAAGTTCAGCCCTCAGGGAGCACCTAAGGGCTGCCTGTGCAGAGAGAGAAGTGGTTTGCAAACACAATAGCTCTCCCTTTGTTGCTTTGTGAGGAGGTGCCATAATATCCCTCCAGGCACCACAATCTGATCGTAACAACCTCATAAACCGACTTCCAAATGAGCATTTCTATTATTACAGAGACGTCACTTCAGGTAAACTCTACAGTATCATTTAGAGGTAATTACATGGCCCGGATGATTGCTGTGACAAGTTCGGTGTTGTAGGTGCTATCACGAGTCCTTAGCTGTGCTGACAGAGGAGCCTCCTCACTCCTGCACAAAGCCCAGCCCTTGCAAATGGTGGATGGGGGCTTCGGTCCGTCCCCAGCGACGCTCGGCCACACTCCCTGCTGGGCAGCCTCCCCTGGAGGCCACGTGCTCGAGAAGGATACTGCAGCATCTTCATGTAGGTCTGTATTGCCTGAAGCCATTCCGGGATGGACATGCAGAGCTTGTAGTTTGGCACTGGTGGCACTGAGGGCTGGACAAAAGACAAATAAAAGAGGTTAGACAGTTGCAGCTCAGGTATGTGATTTACTTGGGCAGAGACATGTGCTTAGCGCAACACGGCAGAGCAGCACAGATGGCTCGAACCCCGCATGAACTCGGGCATCAGACGGAAATCGCCCTGCTTCCAGCACGGTCTGTGCGCGCACCGCGCTAGCCCGGCTGCGCTGGAACGACGGGACCAGGACAGGACCTGGCACAGCTGCCACAAGCAGCACAGCCGCCCACGGCCCTTGAGCACCGCCCCACACCAGCAGGCGAGCTAGCCCAGAAGCCAGATGCTTTGCATTTTTTTTTTCTCAGCATAAAATAGAAGAGGAGAATTCTACTCAGTGCTGGCTTTGTCACCCCCCCCCCTTCCCCAAAATTCACTTTGAATTTTTGGTTTCCTCAACTTCAAGGGAAAAGAGATAAAAGGACAGACAAGTCTCGGATACCCTAATTCTCCAGCTGCTGCTATGAGCACCACGCTTGCCAGCCACAACAGGCAGCCACAGGCCCCAGCTAAGGCTGCAAAACCAGGGATGACTGGGCAGCTGGACAGTCACCTGGGGCCCAGATTTTTAATGATATTAAGATATAGGCTAGCACCTTAATGTGATTTAAAAAAAAAAAATCCCCTAAGGTGCTTAGGCAAAAGCAGATGTCTTAAGTATGGATTGAAGGCCAGTCTTCTTAATCCTCATAGCTAGGTGGCTCCTTAGCCTATAACCCCACAAAGAAGGAGCAGGGCCTTGCCATAAACACCTGTATTTTAAGGGCAAGGCTGCAAAATACACAGTCAGCTTATGTCAAGGCTGGGGAACAGAGGGTGAAGCAATAAAACCAAAGCCCCAAGAGAAATACCACAGCAGAAGTCAGTACTGCATGGCCTCATGAGCTTGCAAACCAACAGACAATCTAACATGAGAGAGCTTCATACATTTACTGCTACACAAATATTACAGCACTTTTGCTTTCTGTCAAAGCAGTCACCGCATACTCACCAAAGTCCTTCAGAAATGGGCATAGGCTAGCCTTAAGTTTCAATTTGCAGATTATGAAGTGAAAAACACTGCTCTGAAGACTAAGTCAACTATGACAGGTAAGATGCAGGGAAAAAAAAAAAAAAAAAAAAAAAAAAAAAGAGAAAGGTCCCATACTGTAGAGCTGTCTCCATTACACTGACTTTCCCCTACAGAATCCCACCTCACAAACAGCATGAGGTTTTGCTTTTGCTTTCAGAGAACAAGGCACCCATAACCCCAAGGAGATCAAATACCTGCTGCAGCCAGACAGTAAAAAGGTGTCAGAAGGGAAAAACAAACACTCCTGTTTTATTGGTATATAGAAGAGTATTTTAAAATGGAAAGGAAACAGATGGTCAGGCCTCCAACATGCCATCAACACTAGCACCACAAGAGACCAAAAAAAAAAAAAAAAAAAAAAACCTAGTAATTCTGCACACAGAGGGTTCAGTGGTAACAAGCGGACATTACTAGCAAGTATCATTAATGTTTCTTAATCACTATTTCCACACACAACCTCCTCAGAGATCATTTTTCTGTTTCACAAGTTGCCTCCTCTCCCCCTACCTCAGTCTTTGGAATTTGGGAGCAGTAAATATTCACCTGTCACTCCTGGTGCTACAAAGTAGCTGTACTAAACACACTCGACAGCAAGTAGTTGAAAAGAAGCAAGTAGCTGAAAAAGAGAGAGTTAAGGTGGGCTTTGCCAGGTCCTTCCAGATGAGTGAAACAGCAGCAG